GGCTGCACCAGCTTGCATTCCCACCAACAGTGTGTGAGGGTTCCCCTTTCTCCGCATCCTCTCCAACGATTATTGTTTCTTGTGTCTTTGATTTTAGCCATTCTGACAGGTGTTAGGTGATATCTCGTTGCAGTTTTGATTTGCATTTCCTTGATGATGAGTGATTTATAGCAGCATTATTTACAATAGTCAAATTTTAGAAGCAGCCCAAGTGTCTATTGATAGATGGATGGATAAAGAAGATAAAGATGTGGTATGTATACACGTGATATGGTATGACATATGGTGTGCATAAGATGTGGTATGTATATACATACAATAGAATAATATTCAGCCATAAAAAGGAATGAAATCTTGCCATTTGTAACAACATGGATAGAGCTAGAGAGCATAATGCTAAGTGAAATAAGTCAGAGAAAGACAAATACCATATGATTTCACTCATACATGGAATTTAAGAAACAAAACAAACGAGCAAGGAAAAAAGAGAGAGAGAGAGAAAGAGGCCAATGAAAAGACTCTTAACTACTGAGAACTAATGGTACCAGAGGGGAGGCGGGTGGGGGGACGGGTGAAATGGGTGATGGGGATTAAGGAGGGCACTTGTCCTGATGAGCACTGGGTGACGTACGGAAGTGCCGAATCACTATATTGTACACTTGAAATTAATATAACACTGTATGTTAAGTAGACTGGAACTAAAAAAAAAAAAGTTGGCGCAATTAGAACCTTGTTTTTTTACCTTTCAGACACATTAATACTGAAATGGCCCAAAAAACTTGGCAGACTTGTAAAAAGATTATTTTTCTATGTATTTTTAATCAAATATAAAAATATGCATAAGGTGATATGCCTAACACATAAATATTGATTGCAATGTAACTGATGCTATAGAATAACTGTTCATTCTTTGATCATGAGAAAAATAAACAAACAAACAGAAAGTACAGGATTGCTTTTGCCCAATTACCTACCTGCCTTCTAGAACTGTGCTGTGCTCTGGGCTAGAAAGTACACAATTCGGGCCAGATTGTACTTTCAAAAACATTTCCCCTTTTGTGATTGATGTATCATAGATATCAGAACAACACTGAGCTTTTAAATAATCTGCTGATATCATCTATTTTTCAGGAGAGAAGGGAGGCTCCTCCCTCAGTGTTCATGACTAAGGCTATCTGTATGGAAACAGGCTCGGGGTTGCTTAGGAATTCATTGGCTCCTGGCTGTTTGTTTCCCATTCTACTTGAAGCGGTAACGTTCAGTCTGCTTGAGATACCATCATTCATCTTCAGAGCCATGGAGTGTCATGCTACATAAAAAGAGGTTATTTTTTGAAACACCTTTAACAGATTCTTATCAAGTAAAGGAAGAGCCAAGGTAATGGTTGCATGTCTAACAGAAAATTAGAACATTCATGTACTTCAAGAGTCTCCCTGGCAGTTTTTTTTCTTTTGTTTTTTCAAAATACTAAAGTAATATATGTTCATTGTAACAAGGTAAATAATTCAGAGCCGTATAAACTTCCATTGCCTTCCCCCTTCTCATTCCAACCTATGCTCTTGAGGATGACCCATTTTAAAGCCTGATGTGTATCACTCCATGTTTTACCATGATTTTTATATAATCTTAAACACATATATACATAACACATTCCAGTTTTGTAACACAACCTATTACAGATCTGATATTGTTCGGCAATTTGCTTTTTAACTTAACATTATTATCACTGACATCTTTCAAAGCCAATATACACAGTTTGACCACATTGTTTTGAATGACTGAATAGTATTTCATTGTGTTAACATAAAATAACTTATATAGTCATTTCCCTGTTGAAGAAAAATTAAAGTCTTTGCTGAATGTTTGTTACTATAATGTTAGAGTTAACATACTATACATATTTCTCTATATATTATTTATTTCTGTAGGATAGGTGATATATCAAAGAAAATACAAATTCTTAATTTTTAAAAATGTTGCCTACTTACTCTCCCAAGAGACAGAGCCAACAGTATTAGTGTGTGACCTTTCCTCAACAACTTCGAGAATACTGGATATGGATATTATCAATGTTTCTAAATATTGTCAAGCAAGTGGATTTAAAATATCATGTTTTATTGTTTTAATCTCCACTTCTGTGGGACTAGTTTAAATATTCAGCTGCTGTTTTGTTGTAGTTCCTATTAAAAGTTATGTTCATCACTTGTCAAGGGACAATGAGCTTTTTCTACATTCCTTTTTTAAATCCTGAAGGGCACAGACCTTTATACTATTTGCCTTGTAAATGCCCCATGAGACTATAGTTGTTAACTTACCTACTAGAAGACTTAACCTTGCAATTCCATTATTTTAATTAAATGATGTTACCCAAATCAAACTACAGGATTCTAATTTTTAATCATCTCACCTAAGTTCAATCATAACAATCAAAAGAGGTTTTGTCAACCCTCTACCCTAGCTATCACAGCCAAATTACCAAAACATTAAAAACCAAGGGAGCAACCAAAATTTATACAGATTATCAGTAAAGGGTAACATGGTAAGAGGGTGGCTAGGGGCACCTTTGAATTAGGGGACAGGAAGGCTTATCTGCGGTGGTAATAATTAAGAGCATAGTGTCAAGAAAGAACCAGGTGCGTGCAGTTTAAGAAGAAGAGGGAATAAGGGAGGCATGGTCAAGAAACAGATGGGCCAACCTATCTAGGAAATAGCAAGGTGGGAGAGAACAGCAGGATATAGTAGGATGGATTGTACAGGTAGAAAGTGAAGTCGATCTGGGGACAGGAGGTAGGAGTCAAGAGTCTTGCTCCCACCTGTGAAGTATGAGGCCCATTACATATCCAAGTATGGATGAAGATAAGCAACTCCAGACGTGACTCCAGAGTCAAGGAAGGGGCCAGCGCTGACAATAGAGATTTAGGAGACATTGGCATCAAGATGCCACTGAAAGGCACTGGACTCCATAAGATCACATAGAGGTCATCCAGAGAAGTGAAAACATCAGAGAGTGCATACACCGAGATACAACATCACAGTTAAGCACCAAATGTTCTTCAAAAATACAGTTAATCAAAATTACACTATGTTGTAAAGACAGGACTTTGAACATTAGATGTGTCTGAAGTTTTGATATGCATTATTTTAGGGAATCTTATACTGAGTTGTAAGGCAAAAAATTTATATTAAAATACCAATAATAATCCCCAAAGCATTTTTTTGAGTTTAGATACTCATGGGTGAAGTGGCAGCATTCTGAGTGAGTCATGATTACAGATATATAGATACAAAGTGTTCTGGGTTCATGTGTAAACACAGGTTACTATCTGTCACAAAGCCTTACAGGATGCACATAAAGTACTGGGTAATGGGAGGAATTTTTTTAAAAAGATTTCTTATGTGAGACAGTAACTTAAAAACAAACTTAAGGACTTTGATTCCCATGACTTTGAGAGTCCCCTCCTTAAATTCTGCAACCTAGGGGCTTCCCTGGCCCCACCCTAGTCCTAGCCAGCTGACTCCTTTTAATTAGTCTGAGAACATGTGTTTCATTTCAATGATTCAAGTGATTAAATAATGAACGTGCATATGTCAATTAAAATATTAACATCAAAAATAAAAAGTCTCAGCTTAAGGTCTGAAAAAGCCTTGAAAATTGACAAAGGCCATGACCTAACAAAAGTGAAAGTAAATAGACCTCGACTAAAATTTTAATCTCGTAATTTAGTTTATATCATGTAATTGGTTCTTGGAGGGTCACTTTTCAAAGAAAAAGTCCAATACTGTAACCAAGTAAATCCAATGTATATTGAATTTTCAGTTCTCTTCACAAGTTTCTTTCCTCTTTTTGACAATGAAAGTAAGAGAAAGAGTGGCTTTGTCATGAAATTGAAACAAATACACAAAAAAACTTCAAAGATCAGTTTTGTTTTGAAGCCATGAAGCAAGTGCCAGGAATTTTCCAAGTTAATAGCTGAAACTCTTAAAATACCTGCTGGCTTGGAAAATCATATTTATATATTAAATACGAGTCGAATTTCTTAATCTACGTATAAACAATTTTAGCAGATAATCTATTTTCATGATTCATTAAATGTATTATTTTTAACATACAGATATATTAGAAATATGGAATGCATAAAATCTTGATTAAACCCAAAGTAATAAATACATAAGACTACATGAGTAACAATTTTATTCTAAAAACAAATATAGTATACTGAATGAATACAGCAATTTAAAAAAAAAGAGTAAAACAAAATGGACTTAAGAAATGCAGTTTGCTCAGGCACAAAATCAGATAATGGAGAAACAGTTTACTTTTAAATATCATTCACATTCCTCAGGTTGATTGGCACATTCATATCATTAACAGTTTATAGAAAATTTAGCTTGCAACAACAGCTAAACGGATCTGGTTTCAAAGTTCAGAAAAAAATTGTAATTACAAAGATCTGATATCTTTATTCCAAAAATGCTATAATTAAAATTAAATTTTTCATGTCATTTTAATCCAACTAAATAGACTTCATGGTCTAAAAACTTAAATTTCAAATTTCCTGTCTCATACTGCAATGGTAAGAAAATCAGGATAAATACACACAACGAAGTCTATACTTTCCATAAATAACTATATGAAAACTTGAAAAGAGAAAGAATTGAGTATTGTATATTTATTCAATAGCCGAAGAAAGAGCTAGCACATTTTTAATGTCAGACATGTAGCTATCTCATCATTCAATATGAGCTAGATAAATAAATAAAACTAATAGAAATGCAGCAAAGATTAAAGAAATACACTCATTCGAAAACAGAACAATGATCAAAGTAAGAGTGTTCACACAGAAGTCAGAAAGGCCATGGACAGTAAAAACATGTAAGAACAGTAACAGAAAAAGAAAAAGACAAGTAATAAAGTTGACTTAAATCAGTAGCACAGTTTTACTGAAGGCAACGTGATCACTATCCAATTCAGGGTTTAAAAGAGAAAGAGTCTTACTTACCTGAAAGAGGAACATACACAATACATAAAGCAAGTAAGAACAAAAGAGAACTTGGCTTCCATTTCCAATGACAGTTCCACATTTGATCTGAATGAAACATCCTGCAATGGAAGAAAGCAACCATCAGGACACTCAGTATTCAGCAAGGCATTAGGACAATCATAGTCCAAGTGCAGGTTTTCAGCAGAGATTGGAAAACAGAAATCGTTTTCAATCCTGCTTCCAAATAAAGAAGGAACTTTAACGGTGATAAACCAAATCACCTCTTTTAGGCTAATGAGGCAAAAGAAAAAAAAAATCCATGCATGTCATTTGCCATTTGGTGGCACCTTCCTTATCAGCGAATATACATAACAGGTGATTTCCCAATGAAGATGGGGAAACATTCAGATAATTCAAGTTCATTTATTAAAAAATAAAGCAATTTCAGTTTCAGCCTTCAGCATCACCAGTCACATGCCCATCTGGGTGGCAAGAGGATTTTATATCAACCTCTCCTATAATCTTCCAAAATTTATTTTTTAAAAGAATTTTATTTATTTATTTATGTGAGAGAGAGAGAATGAGAGAGAAAGAGAGCATGGGGGGGGTGGGGTCAGAAGGAGAAGCAGACTCCCTGCCGAGCAGGAGAGCCCTATGTGGGACTCGACCCTGGGACTCCAGGATCACGACCTGGGCCGAAGGCAGTCGCTTAACCAACTGAGCCACCCAGGCGCCTGATAATCTTCCAAAAATTTAGACTCCAAGGAAATGCTGTCATTTTATAACATCTGCTGCTTTACAAATGGAAATATTTAAAATAAAAATAAATTGTCCAATTGTCTTCTTTCCCCTAAAGCAATGAAGTACTAACATTCAAAAAGAATAACGTCTTTATGTATAACAATAGTTATCAATGTTTTTAAATGACTAGCAAACACCAAGTATTATAGAACTAGTAAATGACATTAGAGGGAGGGTCGATGCTTTGAAAATTCTCAATTATTTGTCTATACAGTAGTCTCATCTTTAAACTCAAAATTGTACCTAATAATAATTTAGATAGGAACATCCATATTATCTTGGCATCCAACAGTGGTATGATATCTTGCATTAACTCAACCCCATCAGAAGAGGCAAGCCTGTGAACAGGGCAGCAAGTATAAATGTCGGTCACCATAAGGGCCATAAGTGGATCGGTGAGCATGACAGCCATCAGGCAGGAAGATGGTTAAGTAGCAGTAAGAAATCTCCAGATCTTAAAATCTCCAAAGGGAGTTACCATGGTTCCAGGTGATAATTTAGTGTCTTTTTATTTCTAAAAAGAGAAACAACCAATAAGATACTGTAGGATCACAGTAATACCTTCTGTGTAATGCCTGAAGGTTGCTTATCTGGAGTAAATATGTAATACCAAACACAAAACCAGAAAAGTAGGAGAGGGAATACTCAAGTCAGCAAAAATAGACATCAAATGATTCCTCCACTTGCCTCAAGCCTTTATTTCCAATCCATCCTTTACTGTTAGAGACCACCTAAGCAGCAAAGAGAACAAGCTCTAGAGTCAGACAGACCAGGGTTTGCTACTTGTAAGCTATGCAACCCTTGGGAAATTTACTTGACCACCTTGCACCTCCTATTTCTCACCTGTAAAATAGAAAGGGCAGTAGAACCTAAACCATAGAGTTGCTAGATGACTAAATCAGATCATGTCTTTTAAGGACAGTGCCTGACACTCAGCACTCAACAAACATTAGCTATTACTACCATCCTGGGCATTCTAATAGAAGTATGGTTATTCTGTCCATACTAAAATCAAAAGAAAAGGCTTAAACAAAAACGGACAATAGGATGTCATAAACCAACACCAATCAATTGACTTCGTGACTACTTCTGGATCACCTGGGAACAGAAATGGAATGGATTATTCATGTCTGCCATGAATACAGAAATTTTGAGTAATGTCTGATATCCATGCCATGTTTTTATATTCATCCAACTAGAAGTTCTAGCATCACACAGCTCCTAATGGAAATTCTAAAGTGAGCAAAGCTTAAGATCTGACGAGTAATTTTCTGTATGGAGGGCATGTTTTAAAATACATCCATCCAAAACAGTTGAAATTTAAAGCAACGTTACTACTTACGAGAAGCAATATGCCACAGTACGTCATCATCATAATATAATAATAATGGATGTGAACTCTGGAATAGCAGAATTACAACCTGGTGCCTCTATTTATTGTGTGACTTTAGAGGCAAGTCCTTAAAACTCTGGACTATTTCCTCTTCTGTAAATAGGATATCATCCATCAAAAAGATAGAGATAATACTGCATGGCACTTGGTAAGGGCTTTAAAAATGGTAGACCATAGGGGTACCTGGGTGGTTCAGTTGGTTAAGCATCTGCTTTTGGCTCAGGTCATGATCCCAGGGTCTGGGATGGAGCCCCACATCAGGCTCTCTGCTCAGATGGGAGCCTGCTTCTTCCTCTCCCTCTGCTCCTCCCCCTGCTCCTGCTCTTACTCTCTCTCAAATAAATAAATAAAATCTTAAAAAAAAAAAGGGGGGGTAGACGATAGACTTCTGTTACATGGAAAGTTCACTCATTTGGAAGAATGGGTACATTTCCCATTGATGTTGGATGAATGTGGTGTTTCCAATTCATGCCATGGATGAATGAGTATGCTTCTAAAAAAAAAAAACACAATTATATATTCAAAGAAATTTAGAGCTGGGAAGACCAAAGATGAAGTCTAACCTTATATCACAGAAAAGGAAGCTGAGGACCAGGGAAATAAAGGAGCAGAGCATCAAAACTGGCTGCCTGTTGTACCATTAACAGTCAGGAGTGTCAGCCCAAGACAACTCCCAGCTTCTCAATCTTTGTGGCACATGACAGTTTTCCTTTATCTATATGTAAACAATGGTCCCCTCTTAGATTTACGTGCTCTCTCAACAATCCTCAAGGAATCATGTTTGTTAGCTTGGCAACATTCAATTCTATTTATTTCATCACACAACTTTCTTTTGCTACAACAGGTTCTGACAGTTAGGGATTCCAGACTCAATCCTGAAGCTGTTTTACAAAAGCTGCCTGCAATCCTTTCAGACAAGAGCTGCAAATGATGATGGAGCGCTTCGTGCATTCTGGGTCTCAAGGCTCCATCACTTCGTATTGAAAAGGAACCCAGGACAGGGCAAGCACTTGGAACCAAACTTAAACCCCATGACAAGTCAACTTTCATCCAGTTGACTGTTTACTGAAGAACAGAAACAAATTAAGAATAGAACAGAGGAAGGAAAGCACTGTGTGTCTTCTCAGGGGATCACTTAGCAAAGACACATCCCTGAGATTCAAACAACTTTCTCACAAGAACGGAAAATCCTGAACAGGGTTACTAAGGTTCTAAATGGGAACCATAAAAAACATAATGCAATCTTCTATCACTTAAGTTGTAGCCTCAAAGTTCTGAAGAGAGCAAGAACGTTTTTTTTTTTTTAACTAAAAGAGTCATACATAGACTTCTATCGCCTGAACAGAATCTAAAAATTATGCAATAAAACCAATCACTGCACAGGCAAAAATGTTACAAAGCTAAACTACTTGCCCAAGATCACGTAATCCGTGGTGGCAGTGCCAAAACACCCACTGGGTCACCTGGCTTCCAAGTCACCTACCTCTAACTGCAAACTTGCTCCCCTTTTCAAATGGCATAGGCTACAAAACACAATATGCTTGAATCCTATTTCAGGAACTCTAGAACTTAACCGTTCTATAGGAATTGTTTTAACGCCAGAATGACCCCTTGTAAATGCAACTGAATCCAAACACATCACTAAAATAATCTGTAATTTAGAAAACCTACCATCTTGCACCTCTTTAGTCCTGTGGGGTCCCTTAAAAGTCAAATTTAAAGAGAAATTAGTGAAGACATTTTGAAATCAGTGGAGAAATTGACATGGCACTAATTCTTTTACCCGCAATGGTCAGAATTACATTCACTCCCCATCTCCCAACTGTATTTCCATGTCAAATCTTATCACAAAGGGGCATGAGGAGTAGCACAGAGTACTTTAATTCTTCTAGAGTGAAGAGAAAGTAATTTGGTTTATTCAAGTCTGCTCATAATTGTATTTCTCCTTTTGGTTAAAGATCATGTTCCGAGCCAAAGCAATGAATAAAAAGAGAAAGTGCTATTCTATTACTCAATTCAAGTTCTTTTATTAAGTTGGGTTCACCCCCACTTCAAATAGGTAGAAGAATTTATTCTTCAAATCTGCACAGATCTTGACCCTTATTTGAGCAGAAAAATCCCTTGTATCATGACTTGTACCACAGGTGAAATTAAAAGGCGACCCTGAGAAACACATCTGAAAAAGAGTACTGTATCAATATCCTGGTTGTGGTATTGTGCTACAGGTTTGCAAAATGTTACCACTGGGAGAAACTGGGTAAAGGGTGCATTGAATCTCTACTATTTCTTCCAACTGCATGTAAATCTATAAACTTCTCAATAAAATTTTCAGTTAAAAAAGTAAAGCCTGAAACCCTGATGTATATAACTTAACATTCAGGTGATTCAGAAAATACTGTGTGTGTGCGTTTACAGAGAGTAGGGGGTGGAGGGAAGAAGAAAGGATGGAAAATAACAGAACTGGGGTAAACATTTACATTAAGTGATTCTGCATAAAGGATAAACAGGTGTTTGTATTATTCTTGCAACTTTTCTGTAGGTTTAAAATTATTTCTAAATAAATTTCAACACAGCCATCCACATTTACACTGAAGTGTATCAATGTTTATGTCATGATACTCCCATCACTATTACTGTTTCATCATTACCAGTTTGATAGAAGTAGCATCTCATTTGATTTTCCTTTATTTGGATTGGCATGTTCAAGTCAGTTTTGTAGTTTATTATAATAGAAATATTTTTCTTACTGATTTGTGAATTCTTTTTACCAATCCTATACGAAATATGTTCAGCCTTTGTCATGTGTGCTAAAAATGTTTTAAACACAGTAATCTTGAAGTTTTCCTTAGGGCATTCCAAATAATTCCATCCTGAGTAATGCTTATAAGGGAAAGTAAGATGATACTCAGGTAGCCACGTTCAAGTTTTATTGGCATTTTTAGTTATCACTGAAAAGTCCTTTAAATGTCATCGCCCCAGTCACCCAGTATGCATCTTAATGCCATCCAATGTAGATAATATAATAATGGCATCCAATCAGAAACAAAATGGAAAGATACGGGGGTTTTCTGCCTAAGCATGCCACACACATCGAACAAAGTCTTACTCTATTTAGTCTAAAGTCTAAATTGTCTCTAGAAACTTTTAATCATCCCATCAGAAATGTAAACTGTAAGAGAAGGGCAGTTAGAAAAATGGTCAAGTTTAAGGAAGTGGTTGTCAGTTTATTTTTAATGTATAAACTGATTCTCTTTCAAATCATTATTTCCAGAAATCAGAGTGACGCGTCCAGTTAGGCAGTAAAACTACAAGCTTCTAATATTTCCCATAAGCCAAGAGACAATAGCCTCATTCACCATTCACAGTGGAAAAGCACAATGTCATGTAATTTATATAAGCCATAAATGGAACGAACAGGAGCTTCATGCAGTTTGAGACCAGTTAACACAAGTCTTGCTAAATCTATTAAATTTCTTAGGATATGAAAAATATGTAGTCATTACAACTCCAAATATATTTATAAAATCTGTAATTCCATAACCTGAATGTCACAATATATTAATACTTTCTTCACAAAGAGTAGGCAGAAAATAGTTTGTGAGCTTGAACCCATTAAAATTAAAACTTAAAAGATAATAGAGTTTGTGTTCCCCATTTTAACATTTTTCAACAAGATAGTAAGAATATTTACTTTGGAAAGGCTGGTATTATTTCCATATTTTCTAACACACTAATATCTAAAAAGAATCTGATCATCTTAAACCATTCCGTTATGAGTTATAAACAGCAAAATGGAGAGAGAAACAGTTATAATCTGGCAAGAAATGGAAAAGCTTTCAGTCAAAAAAGCTCAATAAAGAAACTCAAATCAGGGTACTAAACTCTGTATTTTATGTGATTAAATATTCATATTTTTACTCTGTATGACAAAAGAAGTTTTAGTCACGTGCAATTCAAATGGGCTATATAACTTAACTGCATAATGAGGAATTCTGTACATTACCTGTTGATCAGTTTCACGTTTTATTTTAAAAATCGGTATTCACACTTTTTTTCATTTTCCATGAGATCTAAATTACCTAGGAAAGCTGAAAGGAAGCTACACAAATATCTGCTGTTAAAAACCTTACTATATTTTTAGGAAAAACTGAAGTTTAAAACAAATTCACATTCATTCAAAATGTGTCGCCTGTAGGTGAGAACCAGTCTTATGTGGGACTGTTGGCTGTATCCCAAGATAAATTACTTCAGGTTATACTTGCTGATTCCACTGGCATAAATGAAACCTTAAAAGTCACAGGTGTGGAATTACTTCACATGCAGTTTTAATAAAAATACTAGTTGTTTTCTAATTATACTGCTCACCACTAGGAACAGAGGGGTAGAGGGCTAGGCTTGTGGGCACTACTCTTTTCCTGTTTTAAAACTGTGTGCTGACTGGAGAGAGGAGGAGAAGCTGCGAGGAAGGGAAAGACAGGGCCTAAGGCGCATGTCTTTTCCCAGGTATTAAGCTGAAAGAGGAAATTTTAATGGAAATACTTAAGGATCCAGTAGCTGGGGAAGGGAGGGTGAATATCAATTTCTAGAAACACTTGTTTATTAGTGGAAGGGAGTAAAATCTCTGTCAGGGTACCTGCTCAAGATTAAGTAAAACATCAGAGGGAAAATTACATATTACAAGAAAAAGCAACTTCTGAATTGGCCACAAAAATAGGCCCTTTTTAGAGCAATCTTCCTTTTTGCATTCTGCAAGGCCCAGGCCCTGCTGGGTGGCCCTTTCGCGGGTCGCTCTGAGGAACCTCACCACTTCGATGGTAGCTCCATAAAATCAAAACCTTTTAGGTTTCTCTGACCATTCATAGCTCTATGTCCCCCACTTATAATTCAAGGCAGGTCGCGTCCCAGGTCCCATCCCGTAAAATGGCATATCCCTTTACTTTTTAATCTACAAAATACAACCAAGAAACTTTTCTGCGCGTTTTTTTTAACAATTCAAATAACCCAAATATCCAAGAATAACTTCTACAGTCAAGGGTGATAATGTGTAAAGTCAACATTTTCTCGGTATACCAGTACCTTTCCAAGCCCCCAGGTGTTGATCCAGGATCCCTCTTTCTTGGCAGGGCAAGGCCCCTGGATAGAGGAGCCGCGCCTGTTACTCCTTGTTTAATTTGACTCGAAAACACGTTTTCCCCATTCTTGAAGCCCTGCCCTTTTTATTATGCTTTACACCGCCCAAATGTGAGGTTTACCTCTCCCTGGGAAAAAAAAAAAAAAAAAAAAAAGCAAGCCGCACACACATGTCACAGCTCCGCCTGGCAATACCAGCTCACTCCTCAGTGCCTCAGGAGCCAAACTGAAGACAAACCGGTTTATTCTGTCAATGTAGTCCTTACAAAATCATTTAGTTGAGGTGGGGGTGGGAGGAGTAGATACGGGTAAAGGTGTGAAGGAATTCTCAGCTGAAAGGTGAGACTTACATGTTGGCATCACTGCGCTGAGGTCCCCAGGGGCCGCACGGTCATGGTCCACAGTCTTTCCCTGGTTCTGCTGCTCCGAGTTCCCCAGTGGAGACCCCGGGCGCCCGAGCCGAGCGCGGCGGCCGGACCCTCCTTCACGCTTTTTCTGGAGAGTTCATCGGGGTTTCCCGGCAGCCACTCCACGCCCGCGCTCGGGGCGGCGCAAGGTGGAAGGGCCGCGCGGCGGAGTTCAAGTGCGGATCGTCGCGGCTAGAGGGCGGGCGGGGCGGCAGGTTCCCCCTTACAGGCAAGTTAAAGAAAAGTTAGGGCGAGAAGCTGGGTCTGCCTCTGAGCTGGTGCTGGGTGCTCGAGGTGATCTTGGCCGGGAAGGGGTGGAGGGGTCTGACCCGGCAAGTCCTAGCCCCCGCCCGCGGGAGGCGGCACGTGGTCACCCCTTCTGTGGCTCTCGTTCCCCCCGCCCGCCCGCCCGCCCGCTGGCTGCAGCAGCTCCCAGCGTCCGTCCCCTCGGCCCGAGCTGGGGGCTCAGGTGCGGCTGCCCAGGCGGTGCGCGGCGTCTGACCGGGCCCCACGCGGCCCTGGGGCGGCCCCAGTCTCGACGCTCCGCTGCGGGGGCCGTCCCCAAAGCGCGGCTGCCCCACCCAGGATCGCCTGCCCCGGGGCAGAAAGGGAGAAGTCAGACCGCGAGGCAGGAGAGGCGCTCCCCCAACGGGCAGCCGGGTCGGGATGGGCGATTGGCGCTGGGCCTCGCTCGGCTCCCAGCGGGGGGAGGGGACGGGGCGGACCCGAGGTCACCAGAAAGCCGTGAGTCCTGAATTCAGGAGACTTCTCCGCGCAAGAAAGGAGACGCTCGGAATGCGGGCGGCGATGTGGGCATCTCCTCCCCGTCTGCTGGGATTCCGCGCTCTTACCCACGCAGGACCCCGCACGGGACCCCTCCACCAAGCTCCCGGGCTGCCGCTTTGCTTTACTTTTCTTGTTCTTTTCCGTCCCTTTGCCTTCCCTGCTCTCTTTCTTTTCTTCTGTTTTCTTTCACCTCTCTCCTCTGTCTTTCTTCGTTCTCTTGCTCTTTTTCCTTCTAAAAATCGGAGTGAAGGGAGTGAAGGGAGAGTCCCGTACCATCGCCTCATCTCGTGGTCTCTGCGGGGAAAGGGGATGGTCTCCCACCACACCCTCCTCCACGGAGGATGAAGACCAGACATAAGAGGAGGCTGAGAAGGCGACAGTTCCAGTGTAACTATTCCCACCACCGCACCCACCACAGATACACCCACTACCTGCTCCCCCTGATTTGCTGACACCTATAGTTCCATAAATACATAGTCATCATTTTGGCTTAGAATTTTGTCTTCTTCATTACATGCATCTAAATACCCCCAAGGAGTGGTAATACGTAAAACCTTTGACACTGCCTTTAGTTTGTGGTGTTCAAATCCCTTCGGAAAAGAAGTGTTTGAAGGGGGAGTGGGTGCTGTGATATGAGGTGGAAACACACGGGGGTGTCTGAAAGTGGGTGCAGACGGATTCAGTGAAAGCAAAACCTGGCAGGACTAGTGGCAAACTGCTTGGTCCACAGTGTTGACTGATAACGTCCTGCTAGAACCCTCTCTACTGCTTCACTGGGACTTAGAGATGGGACTAGATAAATTGCATTTTCTTTTAAAATCACCGTAAAAAAAAAAAAGGAAGGGATATTAACAGGGGGCTGGGAAAATGTTCACATAACATTTCATTCGTCAATATTGATTTGCAAATACAAATCCAGTTACTCATTGGGGAAAGTGCACTGCCTGGACTCCAGGGCTCCTACAAGTAGCTGGCAGGCAAAAAGATCTGGAAGCACCTCCTGGGTGATGAGAAGAGAAAAAAAAGGACTCACACTTGGAAAGTAGCTCCCTTCCCTTTGTGAACTGCCAGAGTTAATCCCTGAAATGCTGGAGGCAAATCTTCCTGTGACAGAGCTGGATTACACATCCAGAGCCAGAACAGCCCAGCTTGAACTGTGAGCATGCACACGCATACATGAACAGGCAACACAAAGAAGTGCCAAAAAAATTTATATAACGTTGATGGGCTAGTGATAGAAAACTGTTGGGGTGGAAAAAAAGTAGAGCAGGACTTGAGCACAGACAGCTACTGGCAGAAAGGAAGCTGGAACCCTGCCACCAAATTCAGAGGCCTGAAAGTCCAGGGTGTGCTCTTCTCGTGACTTTTATCAGCGTTTATTTTGATGAATAAACAGTATAATTAATAGAGACATTGAATTTAGCACTTAAGGGAAACTGAAGTTCCTCCATCCAACGCTCTCTTATTACAGAACGGGAAATGAGACCCAGAGATGTGAGGTCTCTACTAACTAGCTGGAAGTGGCCAGGGGCTAGGATCCAGGTCTTACAATTCAAATCAGTCTCTATGACACCAGAATGTCCTAGGAAAATTTAAGTGCCACTCATAGAATTTTCTTTAGAGCAACAATATTTATTATTTCACGGTTCTCAGGTGCAGTAATCTGAGGGCAACTTAGCCCAGTGTCTCACAAGACTGGCTAAGGCTGCAGTCTCATCTGAAGGCATGACCAAGGAGTGAGCTGCTTCCAAGCTCATGCGTTTAGTGTAGTGAGCTCATCCAAGCTCATTCCTACCTTAGGAATGTGCTTTACTCAATGTCCACTGATCTGAAAGTTAATCTCGTTTAAAAAACATCTTCACATAGGGGCTCATGGGGGGCTCAGTTGTTAAGCGTCTGCCTTTGGCTCAGGTCATGATCCCAGGGTCCTGGGATCAAGCCCCTCATTGGGCTCCCTGCTCTGTGGGAAGCCTGCTTCTCCCTTTCCTACTCCCCCTGCTTGTGTTCCCTCTCTTGCAGTCTCTTTCTCTTTCAAATAAATAAATAAATAAATCTAAAAAAAAAAAATCTTCACAGAAACATCCAGAATAATGTTTGACCAAATATCTGGACGCTATGGCCCAGCCAAGTGGACATATAAAATTAACTATCATAGTAACTGAAGCAAATGTACATATGCCTAGAAGATAGGAGTAGTATATTTACATGTGCCATTATATGCTAGAATGTTCATAAATGTATATGTTATTTCTATATGATTACATGAATCATAGTAAAATATTTCTCAAGACAGGGCCTGTCATTCATCAGCACATTAGTAAAATCTGTGTATTTTGATACTTCTGTCCTCAAACTGAGGATTTGTTCTTTTCTTTGAAAGAGCTTATGGGGGGGGGGGCGCCTAGGTGGCTCAGTTGGTTAAGCATCTGCCTTT